TTTTATGATGTAAAGATGGCAAAACAAAAAAAAAAAAAAAAAAAGTTTAATAAAATTTTATTATTTAAAATAATAAAATAACGGTATTTTTGACTCGTGAACCAAAAGTCGTCTCACATGATAATAATAACGACAAACGTCATGAGAGGGGACACCTTTTTTTCATATTTTTATTTTTTTGGGGGGGGGGGGAAATTCTGTACCAAAATCATTTTGATTTTAGTTCATGGTATAAGTAATCAAACGGGATAAAGAGAAGGGAGGGAAGAAAAGGGAAAATTTTCAAATAATTTAAAAAAAAAAAAAAATACTCACGCATTCGGATGTTTTTATTCGATCCATAACTTATTTTTATTTATTTTAATTAATTAATTAATTGCATTTGCCTTTTTAAAATAAATTTATTCCGTTTATAACGTCGAGTTCTTCTTAGGAAACCTTAAAACAAAAAAAAAAAGGTTTAATTATATAGTTAAAAGGTAAGAAAAAGTAAAATAGAAAATTTAAAATAAAAAAAAAATTGTTTTGCCGCCATTTTCTTTTTGCTTATGAAAAGTTTTTTTTGCCTAAATTTGGCTATTGTTGTTATTTTAATTAAATGTTGCTATTTTTTTTAAATAAAATAATTAAATCGTTTTGGGCGCTTGCATGATCAAAAAAAAAAAAAAAATTTGCTTGATAATTTTCATTAAGAAAAAAAAAATTAGTTATTTTGTTGCATATAAATGTTGGTGGGAAAGGGGGAGGGGAGGGGGAGAATTTCGGTTGATTTATTTACATTTTTAACTAAAAAAAATTTTTTTTTTTTTTTACAAATGAGTTGAATGTAATTAAAAGAGGAAGAAGGTCTTTAAAAAACGGATTCACGGCCCGTTTAAAAAATTTATTCGCATTTTATTTATAAAATTAAAAAACCGGTATCTGGTATTGAAACTTTTTTTTTTTTTTATTTTCCATGAGAAACACAAGACCGAGAGAAAAGGTAAAGATGATACGACGATTATAACCGCGCCTAAGAAAAAAAAAAAAAACCATTCAGACATTATTATTATTATTATTCTGTGTGGTCTTAAAACGTAGACACTCGCTGTCATGGCCTCCGGGTATTCAAGAGTTTTTTCTCATATAATATCATCAAACTCCGGGTATCTGGCATCGATACCCTTTTACGAAAAAAAAACATGTTCTTATTATATTTATTTAAATCGTCCCGGTTTTTCTTTTAAAAAAAAAAAAATATTTAATAATAATTATATTTCGTCGTTTTTTTTTTTTTTTTAGGGCGAATTTGAACTTTGACACTCGGGTTATTTAGTTAGTTACGTGTAAAATCACGTTTGGGTCGTCGCCATTTTACTTATTAAATCATATATATATTTAAATAAACCGAAATTTAATAATTATTTGATTAAAATTACAAAAACAAGTTTTTTTTTTTTTTTTTTTTTTTTAAAAACACACTAGATTTCGAATTAATAATAATAATAATTTTTCTTATTCTTTATAGTGTGTTTAACTTTTGTGGGAAATTTTTATTATCGAACCTTTAAAATAGAGAAAAAAACCTTCTTTATCGCATAATAAACCGACGGACAAGACGTTTTCTTTAAATATTTACACTTTTTTTTTTTTAAATCGAAAGCAAAAAACAAAATGAAGGACTTTTTCGGTTAAATAAATATTAAAATCACTCAAGTAATTAATCAAATTATTTATTAACGGACAAATATCACCTTTCGAATTGATTTTTTAACTATTTTGACATTTTTTTTTAAATATAATTTTATTAAATTTTATTTAAAAAAAAAAAAATGGGGGGATTTTTTTGTTGTAGTAAATTTTTTAAAAAATTGTACGTTGTTTAAAAAATTTACTTACCTTTATGCACTAATAATTTGTTTAAAAAAATAAAAATAAATAAATAAAAAAACTACGTAGTTAATTTTTAAAAAATCATAACAAAGATGATTCACACGCGTAAATGTACACAAACACGGAGAACATAACGAGAGAGTCCACCTTGTTTCTATCAGGTTTTAATAAACACTAACA